TAGGCTGAGGCTGCAGCTTGTGCAGAGGCCCGAGGCGGGAAGGGGGGGCAGGGGCATTTGCACCTGTGCTCTGACAGGCGTGCCTGTACCGCCGGCCACACGTGTCACAGGCATAGATCCTGGTGCCTCAGCTAGACACTGGGCTCCTGGGAGGGTCCCGCTATCCCATCCCGGACCCGCAGCAGCTCACCTCCCCCGAGGAAGCCCCGTCTACACAGAGCCGTGTCCTGGGGAGATTTCCTTGGCACACGCCCTTCTCCCTCCTCCGTGCTGACTGACAGAGGCCCTGACGATTGGGGGCAGCCGTCTTGTAAACACATGGTGAGAAACGGGGTTCCACGTGGCAGAGACAGCAGTCCTGGCAGCACTGAGCTCTCACCTGGGCCTCGTCAGCCCAGGCCGCTGCGTTTGGGCTCCCTGTGACTTTGGCCAAATGCATTCGTGACTCACCGCCAGTTGGGGCGGTTTTGCAGAGTGCCCAAGGTGAGCTCGGGCTGTCTCCTGGGTTAACCTTCCCCTCCCCGGCGGTAGGTGTGCATGAAGAGGGGGCTCAGCAGTCGCTGCAGGCCCAGGAGTCAGCTCCCCTAGTCTCGGCCGACGCCTGGCACAATGGGCCCGGTAAACGCTAGGTGTAGAGACTGCTTCTGTGATGTCTGCGGGGCCTCAGCCTCAGCCCCGTTGTTCCCAGACCTCTCCGGAGGCCAGGCCAGCCCCCCTCTGGGGAGTGCTGGGGCTCAGGAAGAGCAGGCAGGCGGCTCTGTGGCACCCGAGCTCTGGCTGGGGCAGTGGGCAGCTCTTTTTAACCGGTCGCGGCCTTTTCTCAAAGAGGCCGGGTTCAAAGGGCCAGAGCGGCCTTTTCCAGCCCTCAGCCATGGCTACCAGGGGAGGCCATGCACTGAGCTGCGGGCAGCCGGGCTGGGCACTGCCCCTCAGGGCCTCTGAGGGCCTGTGCTGACCTCCTAGCAGGAGCCTGTGGGGAGGAGCGGCACACGGAGCGGCCTTGGGGGGCATCTCGGGGACTGCCGTTTCCTCAGAGAGCTGTCCGGCCTGGTGGAGACCTGGCACCCAGTCGGCACGAGTGGCCTCAGGGTCACCAGGGGAAGGTCAGGGTTCTGGCTGTCCTTCCTACACCTGCATGTGAGTCCCAGTGGTCTCAGGGGAAGAAGGGTAAAGGGACCTTCTCCCGGTGAAGTCCCATCGGGGAGCCTGCTCGTACCTCACCCGCGCCCTCACCTTGGGTCTGGGGCCTGGAAGCGTGGGCACAAACCCTCCTGGGCCTCCCGCAACAGTTCAGGGGGACCCTTTTCTCGGGGCCCTCGTCTGGCTTCTGCTCTCTGCCGAACTGAAGCCAGCTCGGTGAAGACCCGCCCCGTTGGCAGTGGGCACACTCCTGGCAGCACTGGTCACGCACAGCCGGGGCTCACCATGCAGACACATGTGAACACATGCCCGCCTTCTGCCAGGGCTAGGGAGCGGGCTGGTAATGGACTGCCAAGAACCTGCCGGAGACTGGCTGGGACCCTGCTAAGGGGCTGCTGGGGCCATCCCGGCCAGAGAAGGGAGGAGGGCGCCCAGACCCAGCCGATGGGACGGCACGCGAGCGGCCGCGACATCTGAAAACACTGACTCTGCCCAGGGACACGTGGCGCCTGAGCTAATGCCCACCTGGGCACGCTCCAGGTCTGAGCCCACACTGCTGCCTGCAAGGTCCCTGCCCTGCTTGACAGAGACCCATGGCCGCGACGGGGGGAGGGCGCTCCTGACCCCAAACCACATGCACTGCCCTGCCAAGGCGGCGGGCCACCCGAGCCCCTCACACCCCACCCGGGAAGGGCTTCGGACAGCGAGGGTAGAGGGGGGCTTGGGGACGGGGTGGGCAGATACAGGGTCTGCGTGGAGTCTGGGCCTGGGCTGCTTGCTAATGGCCCAAATAAGTTCCCAAACCCTCGGAGGCTCTTCTCGAGCTGAGCCTGTGTTCGCTTTCCACTGGAATGCGCGTGGAAACCCTCGTCAGCCGATCACTGGCAAGGGGCCCGATCCTGGGGAGATTTCCTGGTCTCACTGTGATGAAGTGGTGGGAGAGAAGTGATTGTGGCAGTGGCCCAAGTCCTGGGGGGTGGGCGAGGGCAGGCCCCTGGTGCTGGTGCCGGTCAGTGAAGGAGGTCGGGCTGGGTTCAGGGCAGCACCGAACCGTGCCCTGCACCTCTGCAGACTGCTCTCTTCCTGGGGCCAGAGCCACCCAGCCCACCAGAGCTGGCGTCAGCTGACAGGGCCCGACACTCCGGACTCAGCGCCGGGGCAGAAGGGCCTCTCGGCAGCAGTGGGCTCCACCTGCCTGGCCCCCTGCCACCAGCCAGCCCAGCCCAGAGCGGGACCTGGGCCGAAGGGCTTCTCTGTGGGCTGGCCAGGGGAGGCGTGACTGCGGCTCGTGACTAATGAGTAAGGCCGTGCAGCTGGGGGACAAGTGCATGGACCTGCTCGAAAGTAAGACCCAGGAGGTTTTATCTGTGGAGACCGGGAAACCCAGGCCTTTAATTAGCGCTCTGGGTCCTGGGGAGACAGGCCCCAGCTTCGGTTAACAGGAAAGCCCCCGAGCCGCTCCCTGTCCCAGGAGGTGTGT